CTAAAGTACTTTTAAAAAAAAGAAAGGACATTACTAGTCTTTGAAACACAACAGCTTAGGGGCCAGCAGGTGATGTGGTTGTTAAGGTACTGGACTCCCACATGGCTGTCCACGGTTCAAATCCCAGACCTGGCGGCTTACTTTCTCACTTTCTCTTCCTCTCACTCTCTCTCTCTGCCTCTTTGGTCAAATTAAAAAATAAATAATAATAACAAATAAAATTAAGTAAAGAAATGATTTTAAAAAAAGAAACACAACAGCTTAATTAAAGCTGCTGGATTCTAAATGCTGACTATAACTGCAGTGTTTCCTACTGATTTATACTTGAACCCCACGCTTTACTCATTCAAGCAGCTTCGTGCTATGGATGACGTGGACTACTCCTCTATTTGCATAACCTCCTACAACTGCCAAATCTAACTTTCCTTAACAGCTGTGATGCTTCAAGAGCATATAATTAGCACCTGTGGACCAAGGTGGGTCAGAGCTTGCATAAAACTACAGTTTTTCTTTAAAATGATAAACCTTTGGCCAAACTCTACATTAGATCACATTCATTTTATTCATCAAAACTTTTTTCTTCCAAGCTGCCTGGGCCAAGATTTGAACCACAGTCAACTATGTAGGATCCAAGTCCAGGGAGCCTAGCTAGGCTACCAGGCCAGCTCATTATACATTTTTAATTTGAAAATTGCATACCTTTTGAGGATTCACTATAAAATCAACGTTAGTCTTTACGGGTACACTTCCTGATATAAGCAAGGACGCACGATATTAACAAAGGCAAACCAAGTTCGAAAAGTCCACAGTGCTTCCATACATCCGGTACACGATACTAACCTGTACCTCTGAAAATCGCCATGCCGCAAACCATGCTGTTGCTGGGATTCCTTAATGATCTGAAGAACTAGTGTCAAGATTAAGGAAAAGTTTACAATGGCAAGAATCCAAATAAATCAAAACCTGCAAAATTAGTTTATATCTGTGACAAACCATAGTACATTAAACATTTGTGAAAAGCTTAGTATATTAACAAATGAAGTCTCTTGTAACTATTGTCATTAGCTATCTTGTCACACGGTCAGGACTGAGCACGCAAAAAAGTTTACTGCCTGAACTGGTACTAAAGTACTTTTAAAAAAAAGAAAGGACATTACTAGTCTTTGAAACACAACAGCTTAGGGGCCAGCAGGTGATGTGGTTGTTAAGGTACTGGACTCCCACATGGCTGTCCACGGTTCAAATCCCAGACCTGGCGGCTTACTTTCTCACTTTCTCTTCCTCTCACTCTCTCTCTCTGCCTCTTTGGTCAAATTAAAAAATAAATAATAATAACAAATAAAATTAAGTAAAGAAATGATTTTAAAAAAAGAAACACAACAGCTTAATTAAAGCTGCTGGATTCTAAATGCTGACTATAACTGCAGTGTTTCCTACTGATTTATACTTGAACCCCACGCTTTACTCATTCAAGCAGCTTCGTGCTATGGATGACGTGGACTACTCCTCTATTTGCATAACCTCCTACAACTGCCAAATCTAACTTTCCTTAACAGCTGTGATGCTTCAAGAGCATATAATTAGCACCTGTGGACCAAGGTGGGTCAGAGCTTGCATAAAACTACAGTTTTTCTTTAAAATGATAAACCTTTGGCCAAACTCTACATTAGATCACATTCCAAATGTTAGGGAGTCAAATAACCTTTATCTGTTGTACAATTTTCGTTTTCTTTCGGTGTTTCCTCAATGCTTCCCACAAACCTACAGTATTTTAAATGAGTGCGCACTAATAGGATTCTTTCAATAACTAAAACGGGATACGGAAGGAGCTAGAAAGCCTGCAGTAGGAACAGGTCATTCTAACATACATCTGGAACTCTACCACCAATTTAAAAAATAAAATTCCAATTCAACTACATTAAGTGGTCGGGCTGAGTGTGTTCTTTCAGAAACTCTCCAACGTTTTCTCCATTTGTCATTTATCTCAAAAAGCCACAAACTAATGTCAGAAGCATTCACTCAACTGAGATACACACTAGTAGAAACTAGAAAACTGGCTGGTCCAGCTTATCTGAATGACTTCTAACTAGAGAAAATGCCTACAGATCTAATAGGAAAACAACATAAATGGTCATTATATATATATGTATATATATATACACACACACACACACACACACACACACACACACAAAACGGGCAACAAGCTTTTCCTCTAAGCAATCTAGAGCATCAAGCTGTAATTATCACTTCACAGTCTATGACGGCTGTCAGTTACACGTCTAGACTGCAGTTTTCTCTCTCCAGTTCTGGTGCTCCAAGGCCCAACGCACGATTCTTTCAATAACTAAAACGGGATACGGAAGGAGCTAGAAAGCCTGCAGTAGGAACAGGTCATTCTAACATACATCTGGAACTCTACCACCAATTTAAAAAATAAAATTCCAATTCAACTACATTAAGTGGTCGGGCTGAGTGTGTTCTTTCAGAAACTCTCCAACGTTTTCTCCATTTGTCATTTATCTCAAAAAGCCACAAACTAATGTCAGAAGCATTCACTCAACTGAGATACACACTAGTAGAAACTAGAAAACTGGCTGGTCCAGCTTATCTGAATGACTTCTAACTAGAGAAAATGCCTACAGATCTAATAGGAAAACAACATAAATGGTCATTATATATATATGTATATATATATACACACACACACACACACACACACACACACACAAAACGGGCAACAAGCTTTTCCTCTAAGCAATCTAGAGCATCAAGCTGTAATTATCACTTCACAGTCTATGACGGCTGTCAGTTACACGTCTAGACTGCAGTTTTCTCTCTCCAGTTCTGGTGCTCCAAGGCCCAACGCACGGCCAGTGTCACTCCGGTCACAAGCTCTCCAACTGGACGACTGGGAGACCACAGGAGAAACCTGCCCAAAAGCTCAGTGCCGCCTGGAAGCAAAGGACGTTCTCCAGCCTGGAGAGCAAGGCGAATGAGAGGAAAGGCCGGTCGAGAGACAGACTCTGGAGCTCCGAGTGCCAAAGAGTAAGGGCGAGAGAAACCGCAACCCCCGGCCTCTCCTGGGCAGGACGTGCCGGGATACGCCGCCTCTCCCACCCCCAGCCCTGCAGATCGACACGTAGTCACTGCCGGGTTAGGCCCGATCCCTCTAGGATACTCTCCAAACTCAGGCTATCCCCGAATTCTTTGTTTGCCTTCGATCCAGCTGAAGGGCGTTCATTTTCTTTATTGTCATCTCCTCCGGCACCGCGTCCACCACCGCCACTGCTGCCGCCACCGCTACTGCCGCCGCCGCCAGGCACTTGCTTCTCGGCAGCCATCTTGCCCCTGCGCCGCAGAGCACGACGGGATAGAGCATGTGGTTGGACCAGGGGATGTAGAGAGCGGGACCCGCCGGACGGGGCTGATGGGATACCGCCCCCCCGCCCCCGCTTCCGGCAGCCGGGGCCGTGCGATGGAGCGCGCCTGCGCCTCCGTGTGCTACCCGGCTCGCGATCGGGGGCTTGGCCCGGGGCTTGGCCCGGGGCTTCTGGCACCGGTTGACGTGGCTGCCAAGGTCTTCTCGGGACCGTCCCACTCCTCTCCACCAAGACCAGGAGAACCGGGGACGGACCCCGCCTTCTGCGTCTCTGGATAGGATATCGGGCTCACATCCTGCACCGCAGATGGCGAGGGACTGAAGACTTTGGATTTAGTGGTGTCTGTCTCCCTGGGGGCTGGGGGATGGCGTTAGCATCCCTCCGGAACTAAGCACCCCCGCCGCGAGGACTGTCTCTGCACTATCCTCTGTGGCCCAGGGCGGGGACTTTCTCGCTGCTGGGAACCTGTGGCATCACTGGACTTGGGGCCGTCAGTGCAATTGTTACACAACTCTGCAAATATACTGAACACTGGAAAAACTTTCAATTAAAAATGAGTAAATGGGATTTATGTTTCAATAAATCTGTTATCCAAATAAAGTCCTGTCGAGTTAGCCCTCTAGTCAAAACCTGCAATGCCTGGCTTTACTCATACTAAAGCTAAGTCCTTAGGAAGAATGAAAGGCCTGCAGGCTGTCTCTCACCTCTTTTCCTGGCAATCTCCTTGCTCTAGGGACACATGCGCATTCGGGCCTCAGGGTCTTTGCACTGGTTGTTCCCTCAACCTGGAATGCGCTTCCTCGAGGTATCTACTTGGCCAACTTCCTCACCTCCTTCAAGTCTGCTCAAATGTCACCTTTTTAGTGATCTGCCTTATGCGTGTTTTCAATTGTACTTCATGAGACCAGCAGATGGAGTGTTGGGTACGTCGCTGGACTCCCAAGTGGTCCACCATAGTTCAAGTCCCGAACCCAGTGGCTTAAACCTCATGCCAGGTGTATGCGTGTGTGTGTATGTGCTACATATGTGCCCAAATCCCAAGAAGTGATCTCTCAAAAAAGATAATTATTTATTTTATCTTTTTTGGAGGGGATTTTTGCTATAAAGTGAGTGCACTCACTAGAGAGAAAGAGGTAGAAACAGAAAACAAGAACTCTCCCCACCCTCACCATCCCCACCACCCCCGATGGCCACATGACAATTCCTTCTCTTCCATTCTCTTGGGATTTGGGACACGTACACACACATGCTGGGTCTGGGACTCAAACCAGGTCGCACCTTAACTACTGTGCCACCTGCCACCTCCATTATTATTCTTTTTAAATTTGCTACAGGGTGTGAACACTCACCAGAGAATGAGAGAGAAAGTGAGAAAGCAAGGCATCAGGTCCAGAACCCTGTTGGCCATGTGGGAGCCCAGCGCTTTAACCACTGCGCCATCTGCTGGCCCCAGGGAGGCTTCAATTCTGTTTTTTTTTTAGAATTATTTTTAAAAATTGTATTTATTATATTAACTTTCGTTTAACCAGAGAGAGAGAGGGAAAGGGAAAGTGATAAAGCAAGCTGCTAAGTAAGGGACTCTAACAGTGGCCATCCATGGGGGAGTCCAACACACCTGCTGACCCCAGGGAGGCTTCAATTCTACACAGACACTAATCATTCTCTTTCACAAAAGCCTGGCGCAGAAACGAGTGTTTCCGCTGTCCTGGAGCATCCGGGGAAATGGGGCCAGTGCGTGGAGCTCTGCTCTTGTGACTTTTCTCCAAAGCGTTCCCCTTGGTATCTGGAGAGGGTGAGGAGGAAAAGAAGACTTCAGCTCACCGGTGTCAGGCCTCTCAGGGAGCCTCCTGGGAAGCAGCATTCTGCCCGCTCAGGGAACAGGAGTGAATTGGAGGGGGAAGGTGGGAGGCGGGGATGAAGCGAGGCTGGCGGAATTCCCGCAGACACCTCCCTCCGCCTCCCCGCCGCTCCCTGTGAGGCCCGGCGCCCCCGGGAGTTAAGAAAGCGCAGAGGTGCGGAGGGCCGGTTGGGGTCGTCCCGCTCTCCAGTTTTGGAAAGCCCGAGCCCTGGCGGATTCGCCTCCGCGCTGGCCTCGGGCCATTGCCCCACGACCCCGCAAGAGTGGGGCTGGAACTTTTTCGAGGGCTCCCCCAGCCATTGCCGGGAGGTCCGGAGTCTGCCAGGCTGCAGGGAAGCGCCAAGGCGCTCGGACGTCCCCGAGGCTCCGCGCACATGCAGGTCCCGGAGCCGATGCCTCCATCACTCCGGCGCCTGCCGGGGAAACCGGTTCGCGGTCGCAGCCCTGCCCAGCCCGGACCCCGGGGCTGAAGCCTGGAGTGGGCATGAAGGGTGGGCAGCAGGAACGCGGACGGGGTCGCTCGGTAGCCCTCCTCTGGCACCGCGGGCCGCCGCGGGACACAATCCCACCCTTCGGCTGCTTGCTCCTCCCCTTGACCCGGGCCCACCCCTACTCCCACCCCAGCTGCGGCGAGGCTCACTCCGCCTGCAGTTCGGCGGAGTCGCGTGGGGCCCCTTGACGGCCGCAGCTGCCGGAGCTGCGCGCTCACCAAAACCCAGACTGCTGCGGGAACCCGGGCAGCCTCGCGTTGGGCGGCAGCATGGACGGCTCAGGCGGCCCGGGGGCTGAGAACGCGAGCCAGGCGGGCGGCGGGGGCTCCTGGCAGCCCGAGGCTGTCATCGTGCCGCTGCTCTTCGCGCTCATCTTCCTCGTGGGCACCGTGGGCAATGCGCTGGTGCTGGCCATGCTGCTACGCGGCGGCCAGGCGGTCAGCACCACCAACCTGTTCATCCTCAACCTGGGCGTGGCCGACCTGTGTTTCATCGTGTGCTGCGTGCCCTTCCAGGCCACCATCTACACCCTGGACGGCTGGGTGTTCGGCTCGCTGCTCTGCAAGGGCGTGCACTTCCTCATCTTCCTCACCATGCACGCCAGCAGTTTCACGCTGGCCGCTGTCTCCCTGGACAGGTGAGAGGCGCCCTGGGGACTCTGGGAGGGGGCTGGAGAGGGAGGTGGACTCAGGGATCAAGGGGGACACAGAGACAGAGAGAGAGAGAGGACGCCAGAAGGCGAAGGGACTGGAGCAGTGAAAGGCAAGTTGGTGCAGAGGAAGATGAAGAATACCGCTAGGGGCACCCGAGGTCCCACGGTTTGGTGCGTCCTCCTGAGAACTCTGTTGTCCCAAATCACCTGCCTGCCAATGCGCAGCGTTTCCCTGAGCAGATTGTTTCTGTGTGTCTCACCTGGCCTGACGTGATGTCCCTGTGAGATTGGGACAGAGAAATTACTGTGCCCAATGTACAGAAGAGAGAGACTTGCTCAAAGTGGCCTGGCCCGTTATCCTGAGCGTGGAGCAAACGGTTGGTCTCCCAGGGCCGACTTCAGGCGCCTCCACCACATTGGCCTCTAAGCCACGTGTGGTTGCTCCATGCAGTCAGCTAAGGTCAGGACTGTGGACCTTAGGTCCTTCCCAAGGACCCAGGCCAGTGTCGAGGCAAACGTGTCTGAAGGTCCCTAGCTGCCCTGTGCTGCACCTCCAGAGCAGGCCCAGAGAGGAGCGTGCCCTGGAGCTCTCCCTCTCCCACCAGGAGAGCGAGGAGCAGGAGTGGAGAGTGACACCTTGGGAAGACCACAGACTCAGGAGGAACTTCAGGACACCAGGGTGGTTCCCAGGGAGGGAAGCCCATCCTGCCTGACTGGCTTATCTCCATCTGCCGGGTCACTCACTCCATGTCCTCCAGACCTCCCTGAAACAGCCAGGCGAGGCCACTGAGCCCATGCACGCCCCGTTTCCACTGAAGTGTTTCAGTTCTGACTCAGCTGGTGTGACCCACAAAGCCCCAGCTTTTCTCAGAATAACCTTTGCTGTATTTTGCTGGACTATCTTTTCCAGACTGAGATCCTCGGGCGTCTGGGTCCTGCCTCCCTGGGCACCTCATTAGTGGGTATTCACAGTCTCCCAAAGCCGGTCCTCCCCACTCAGTCCTCCAAGACTTTGGGATGTTCTCTGGGTGGAGTCTGTCGGTGGGCACAGGGGCCTAGAGGCACACCATTCCTGCCTAACCACCACCAGCAGCCAGACCCAGCCGAGAGCGCTCCGGGGACACCCTCTGGTCTTTGGCGGTGTAAACTCAAGCTGCAGACCTTCCTCAAGAGCGTGGGGGGCCCTAGGTGAGGGCTCCTGCACTGCCCACCTTCCTTTTCCGCCCGACCCCTAGGTATCTGGCCATCCGCTACCCATTACACTCCCGTGAGCTGCGCACACCTCGAAACGCGCTGGCTGCCATCGGGATCATCTGGGGACTGTCGCTGCTCTTCTCTGGGCCCTACCTGAGCTACTACCGCCAGTCTCAGCTGGCGAACCTGACCGTGTGCCACCCGGCGTGGAGCGCACCGCGCCGCCGCGCCATGGACCTCTGCACCTTCGTCTTCAGCTACTTGCTGCCGGTGCTGGTGCTCGGCCTGACCTACGCGCGCACCCTGCGCTACCTCTGGCGGGCCGTCGACCCGGTGGCGGCGGACTCCGGTGCCCAGCGCGCCAAGCGCAAGGTGACGCGCATGATCGTCACCGTGGCCGTGCTCTTCTGTCTCTGCTGGATGCCCCACCACGCACTCATCCTCTGCGTGTGGTTTGGCCACTTCCCGCTCACACGCGCCACGTACGCGCTGCGCATCCTCTCGCACCTGGTCTCCTATGCCAACTCCTGCATCAACCCCATAGTCTACGCGCTGGTCTCCAAGCACTTTCGCAAGGGCTTCCGCAAGATCTGCGCGGGCCTGCTGGGCCGCGCCCCGCGTCGCGCCTCTGGCCGCGTGTGCGTGGCCGCACGGAGCACCCCCAGCGGCAGCTTGTTGGAGCGCGAGTCGACCGACCTGACGCACTTGAGCGAGGCTGCGGGGCCCCTTGTCCCGGCCCCGGCACTGCCCTGCCACGCGGCCTCCAGCACGATCCCCAGCCCATCCTGCGGGGAGCAAAAGGTCCCCAGCAACATCCTGGCGGTGAACGTGACCTGAGAGCACTTAGAGAGTGGCTGGGATGTTAAAGGGCGAGGCTGGTGGGGAGACGTTTTGTATGTTAATAAAACACAAACCTTTTCACCGCAGAGACGTGCTGTGTCCCTTTCGTCATTATCATAACGCTCCTTGGGAAGAAACCTCCCTGGACTTGACCGGGGAGCTCATAGGTGAGCACAGGCCCCTTTTCTGACATACCAGGAAGGAGTGCAGTTCCTGCGGAAGGCAGCCCAAACCTGAGCCAGCACCGGAGGCTCCCTGCATGTGGCCATGCAGGCACTAAACTACAGATGGCAGAATCAACAGCCACGCAAGCCACAGAGGCGCAACAAAAGCCACAGAGGCAGGCGGAGCTGGAGCGTTTAGCCATTCCATGGAATTGGTCGACAGAAAAAGGAAGCCACATGTGTTCCGAGTTTTGTCTCAGGGTGACAGGTCCTTGTCCATTTCTAGCTCAACGTCCCTTTGAGTCTGGGCAGCCAGATCAGTGCTCCTCCAACTTGACCTTGACATTTTCCTGGTCTTTAGTAACCCAGCTTCTCCTTGAGGCTAGGTTCATAAACGCACATCATGCACTTGACTCCAAGTACCACTGGCCAGTTCAGAGTGGAAGAGGAATGCCCTAGGTTTTTTGCTCATGAGCTGGGCTCCTTTCTGCCCAGGAGTTCACTCAACTGCCAGAGGTCTTGAGCCATAAAATCAGTTCTGTGTTCAAGGAAAGGCAAGGAAACTCCCATGGGTGCCCCATCTCATGCCTGGTCCAGGGTTTGGGTATTGAGCCAGGTGGGCACCAGCCACTGAACCAAGGCTGGTTTTATTAGTTCTGATGGGAAGGGCCAAGTCTGGGAGGGGCTGGGGTCCTGGTCCAGCCAGATCCTCTTCTGTGGGCTTTGAACGTAGCAACGGGTTCCAGGTGGTGGAAATAGAGCGGGACAGGGACGCCTCGACAGGTGCAGGGGAGGCGGGGCTGGGTCCTGGGCTTTGTTTTCAGGCATTTGCGGAACCAGGTTGTCGGGGATGCCCAGGCCAAAGCCCCAGGTCCTTGCACAGTGCTGCAGCCTCCAGCCGGCTGCACAGCCCCCAGACCAGTGACTGCAATAGAGGTTGTGGCTGGGATAGGCACTGCCACTGCATTCAGCCCCTCCCCGGCCGCACCATGGCTCTGCAGCTACTGCTCCACCTCACCTTCCTCGGGCTCGGCACCACCCGGCCCCTGACTCAGGGACACGGCGTCTATGCACCGGTGGTTGGTAAGTGGGGGGCATAGGTCACAAGCTTGGATATTTGGACCCCGGGGACCCTAGTGACCTCCATCTCCGTCCCTCAGCCTGGCCAGCCCTCTTTGGCCTCAACTCTTCTCAGGAGGTTCAAGAAACCATGCAGATTCCGAACAATGGGAATGCACCCCTGCTGGTGGGCGTGCAGGTGTCCGTGTCCAACGTGTTTAATGTGGTAAGAGCCACCAGGCTGCGGGGCCCAAGTGCTGAGCTGGAAGGGGCAGCACTCAGTTCAGGTTAGTGCCGGGGTCTCCTGCCCCCTTCATGCAGCACCACCCACGGTGACGCACTGATTCCTCCCCCAGGACATCCTGCGGTACACTGTGTCCTCCACGCTGCTGCTCCAGCTGGTGAGCGCCCTGGGGAGGTGGGGTGGGAGAGCCCAGCTAGAGCAGCTTAGTAGAGGCCTTCCCTGCTGGACTTTGGGACACATAGTATTGGCGAAGGCTGAAGCCTCAGGGACGTCTTTGTGTCCCTAGTCCTGGCTGGACACTCGCCTGGCCTGGAATACCAGCGTGAACCCGCGGCGCGCAGTCACACTGCCCTGGGACTCAATCTGGATACCCGGACTCACCATCCGGGAGGCGTAAGCTGCCCCAGGAGCCGCTGTGCATATCCCTCTTTGTCTTCCCTACCCCCAGCGGGTGGAGGGTGGGCTTAATGACTTTCTGCCCCAGTGGTCTTGCCAGACTACCAGCACGCTTCCCCGGCCTTGCATTTCCCTCTTCCTGGCAGCTGGAGCTGGTGTGGGATGATAGCTTTTCCCAACCCAGTCTGAATGGGCTGCACCTCCCACTGCTCCATCTTTCCCTGCAGGCTCTGGGTAGAATGGAAGGACCAGAGCCCGCGGGCCCGGGTGAACCAGGATGGCCACATTAAGCTCAATCTGGCCCTCACCACAGAGACCAACTGCGACTTTGAGCTCCTCCGCTTTCCCCGGGACCAGAGCAACTGCAGCCTCAGCTTCTTTGCTCTCAGCAACACGGGTGTGGACAGGGCAGGGGCCAAAGGGTGAAGGGAGGGGAGACCCTCTGGCCTCCAGGCATCATCTGATATGGGGTGTGCCTGCCTGGGCCTGACACCAGCCTCCCCTGGGCTGAAGGAGCTGCAGAGCCTGAGGAGTGCCTGCTGTTCACCTTGCTGGCAGCCATCACCCTGCTCTCTGCAGAGAAGCCTCGCTCCCATCCCAGGGCCACCATTCTTGGAGATTATCACACAGCTCTGCCATCCCTGGTCCCTGGAGCAGCTGCCTCCAACAGCCAGGGCAAGCCACAGGTCTGAGCCACCTGCGTCGAGCCGAGGCTCAAATGGCTGTGGCCTGGAACCACCTAAAGGTGTAGCCACCCAGTAGATATCCCACACCCATCAGGTGACCTCTAACCTGGCAAAGCCCTACCCTTCCTTACTAAACCACGGAGCTACTGCCCCGGGGGTCCAGGAATTTCAGGTGTGAGATGAGGCACCCGAAGTATCTGACCACTCCCTCTCCATGAAGTGGTGCAGACTGCATTTATTATGTTTTCTATGTATTTCTATTTCACTGAGAGAGAATCCCCCATGCAGTGTGGTCACACCACAATCTCCCCTCCACTGCTCCATCCTGCTGGGATTTGGGGCACTCATGAACATGCTCCCAGGATGCTTTTCAAGCCACTCGGGCTGGGATTCAAACCGCAGCTAGCCAAGTGGGATCTGGCTCCTGAGCATGGCACATACCCACTGCACTGCAGGGTTGGCCCCCAAATGCATTTATTTCTACAACAATTCTCCTAAGTCCGATGGGGTCCTCTCCCCAACCACAATCTGGGGTGTTGCAAAACAAGCCTTGAGAAGCCCTCCTATAGATGGAGTCTCCAAAAGCTGTCAGGAGTCTCCATCATCCCAGACTCTGGTTTGTTTCCAAGAGACTGGGGACAGGGTTCTCCCTTCCTTACTTCACTGTTCGTACCCCACACCCCTTTCAGAAACGGAACTGCAGTTCCGGGCCCAAGCGGTGAATGAGATTGTGAGTGTCAAGAGGGAATATGTGGTTTATGACTTGAAAATCCAAGCCCTACCCCAGCAGTTGGCGCCCTGCTTCCAGGTGACGGTGAGTCTGGTTGGGAAGAGGCTGATAGAGGTGGGCGTAGGTACACAGCCAGAGACGGCACCACCCTCCTGCTGTCGCTCCGCATACTGGAGAAGCCCTGTTCTCCTTCCAGCTGAGCCTGAAGAACACAGCACTGAAGGCCATCATAGCTCTGCTGGTCCCTGGGGAGGCGCTTCTGTTGGCTGACGTGTGTGGGGGGCTGCTGCCTCTCCGGGCCACTGAGCGCATCGCATACAAGGTGACGCTGCTGCTGGGCTACCTCGTCTTCCACTCCTCGCTGGTGCAGGCCCTGCCCAGCTCCTCGTCCTGCAACCCACTGCTCAGTAAGCCACTCCCTCACCTAGCCCTGGCAGGACCATTGTACCTGGCCTGCCTACACCTTACACCTGCTGTCACCCCAGCCAGGGGCCTCTGCTGAGCTCCTGGAAGCAGAGAACAGGCCTGGCCCTGACTGCCCCCCACCCCTTCCACCTCTTGCCCAGTTTACTACTTCACGGTCCTGCTGCTGCTCCTGTTCCTCAGTACCATGGAGACCGTGCTATTTGCTGGGCTGCTGGCCCGGGACAAGCTTCAGGCTCAGAGCAGCCCCAGCCCAGCCCCAAGAGGGGAACAGCAAGACCATGAGTGCCCGGGGCCCAGGCCAGAAGGTGGGCAGGCCCGGGGGGTGGGTGGGAAGGAGAACTGGGGAGGGAAGGACAAGTCTTCAGGGCAGAGCTGGGAGGCTGCACTCCACGGCTGGGGCTGGGGCTGGGGCTGGGGCTGGGGCTGCTGGGTGTGTTTGGAGACCCTTCGCCTTCACCCCGTAGGCTCTGCTGGCCCTGGGCTCCACCCTGTCCTCCCTGCAAGGGAGTTGGTCTGGCAGGAGCAACCTCGGCCTCCCTATTGGCCCAGGTGACCCTAACCCCTGAGGTGACCCCAGGCCTTGCAGCGCCTCTGAGAGTGCATTTCTTTAACTGAAGATGGCCTAGAATGGGCCAGACCCACATTTTCTTTAGTTAAAAATCTAAGGAAGGGGGAGATACAGACAATCTGTGGGGTTCACCCTTACTTCCAGAGAGCTCTAAAGAACAGCTCCCTTTCCCACCTCTACCTGCCAGAATACCCTGGAAGACTCAAAGGGTCGTGGAGAAGCTGGGCCGAGGCTGCCGACCACATCTTCTTCCTTGTGTATGTGGCTGGGGTGGCGTGCAGCCAGTTCATCTTTGCTGGCATCTGGATGTGGGTGACATGCAAGTCTGACCCAGCCCCCGGCCAGGCTACACCTCACGGTGGGCCGCCCAAGCCCTAACAGGGAGGGCCAGGGCTGCACACCTCAGGATGCAGTTTGGTTTCCCCTGGCCAGTAGAGAGCCACGACACGGTCTCTGGGAGAGTGGCAGAGGTGAAAGGTCATTCTTGTCCCTAACCCAGGATCCCTGGCCACCCTGAGCTCTCCTCCCCATTCCCATACCTAGAGTGTGAAATAAACCCATCGCCAAGTGCAAGTGCACCCAGAGGGTCTGCCTTCGCTGAACACTGCTGCTCACTCCGCCCTAAGCAGGCGGGGCTCCACTTTGTGCCCTTGATGCCCCACCCCATTTACCAGTCCCCCAGCCCAACTGCTGCTCAACCACTGCGGCTGGGCCCTGGGCCACAAGGCCCTGCCGTGGGAGACAGGGAGACAGAGCAGGAGAGGCAGGTGGCATAGACCGCCTCCTCCAATGTCTCCTGCAGCCTGCTGGACCCCAGGGGGAGTGGGGAGCAAGCCTCCTGCCCCAGCCACCCAGGGGACTCCTAGGAGGTGCAGCATCCCGACTTCAGGATGGTGAGCTGTGGGGATGGGGTTTCCTGAGCTAAATCCAAGAGAGCATGCCATGTGTCACCACTCTGCCCCAGGGTCTCTAGGCACCCCCGAGCCCTCCCGACGTCTCCGGGCTGACAGGGGAATTCTCCACCCCAAGCTCTGAACTGACCCAGAGCTGGCTCATTCTGCCCTCTGGCCCTTGGTACATACCAGGCAGCTGTGGGCAAGGCCTGTCTTCCTTCTCACTCCTTTCTGTGGCCAGGGAAGTGAGCCAGGGCTCCGGGGGGAGTGCTGGTTGGGGGGAACACTGGCCTCAGGGAAGAACAGAAACCAGGACTGGAGGGCTCTGGGCCAGAGCTCCTGGCTGGGGCAGCGCAGGAAGGCTGTGTCCAAAGGACTGCACACTCACGGCCCAGAGGCGGGTCAACACTGCTTTACTGTCAGTAACAGGGTCGGTCTGGCAGAACCAGGCAGGCACAGCAGCAGGTCAGGCGGAGGTGTCGAAGAGTCGATCAATCATGTCACCCACCTGCTCCACACGGTACTTGATGTACTTCTCGGGGTTCTTGGTGAAGGGCACGCCACCATACCTGACCAGGCATTGCCGTCAAGGCGAGGGGAAGGCCCAGTCTGCCCAGCTCTGCCCTCGGCCCCGTCCTCCTGGCTGGATCTCAGGAACGGCCTGGCCCTGAGTGAGGGGCCGAAGCCCGGGCACCCAATCTGCTACCAGACCCACCCCTTTGCTCTCGAGGACGATGGGTGCACAGAGGCACAGGTGGAGGATGTAGCAGCGCAGGGCTGGGGAGCGGAGGGCTCACCTGTGCAGGAAGGCCCCGTAGGTCTCCTTGACAACGTTTTTCTGAGCCTGGCGAATCTTGTCCCTCTGCTCCGTGTCGGGAATAGCCCAGGCTTTCTGGATCTTGCACAATTCTTCGAGACCATCATTGAAACCCTGGCACCAGAACGGTGGAAAGGGTAGGGCCCCGGAGACAAATGCCGTGGGCCTGTCGTCACGACAGCAGCAGCACGCAGCGGAAGGGACGGTACCCGGCTCACCTTAAAACGCTCCTTGATCATCTGCCGTTCCTTGTCCCGGAGCTGGAGGAGCCAGAGAGATGGCGGAGAAGGCTCTCCTCAGGATACAGCCCCTTCCCTGCCCCTGCGCCCCTCCTCGCTCCTGTCCCAGGGACTCATGCACCTGCTGCTCTCTGCTCCCAGAAGGAGGTGTCCGTTTCCCCCATTTTCCTCAAACATGACCAAAGGTATCCTATCTGCTAAACACCCCTTCCCAGCACAGGCCTCCAGCCCACCTTGACCCCAGGCTGGAACACAGGCAGGTTCTTCTCTGTGATGTAGTCCGTCACCTTCACCCAGCTGCCAGGCAGGGAGAGGGCGTGAGGGCAGGGGAAGGGCAGCCCGGGGCTGCTGCTTCCTCCTCTCCCCTCCCCCCGGGGCTGGTTTTCTTTTTTTTCCCCTCCAAATCTCTTGATCTACGTGGGTGGGAGAGGTGGTTAGGAATTGATCCGGGTCACAACTGAGCAAAACAACTGAGATTTGGGGGACAGAAAATGTTTCAGCAGCTTGCTTTTCAAATGAAGGCCAGGAAACACAGAACATTCAATAAACTGAAGCAGGACCTACTGGCCACCCCTCATGTTGATAACATAGCCAGTTAAGATGGAGAAACAAATAGGAGAGAGGAGACCGAGGACAGGTAAGCGGGAAGGAAGGAGAGTCGTGTGAACTGGAGTGAGTGAGGACACGGTGGGGAACCGGAGCCACAGGCCAGCAGTCCTCCGTTAGGGACCCCGCAGCCAGCGGAGGGTGTGCTGACAGGCAGAGAAGGAAGAGCGAGCAGTGGCACGGGGCCCACCTGCGCTGGTAGGTCTGGATCTGCTGCTCAATGTGCTCCCGGTAGGAGCGCTCCGCTGTCTTCTGGGTCACAGCCACCAGCTGGATCAGCTCAGACCTGACAGGGGTAGAGAGAGCAGAGGACACAGTGGGTCCTGGCCCACAGCTGCCAGCTCTGCAGCAACACTCAGGGGCCTCCCTGGGCCCTGGGACGAGCTCAGCCGAGCCCCTGCCTCCGCACACACAGGCACGGTGAGGTGAGGGACGGCAGCGCGGCCCGGGCCTGCGGGCCACTTACTTCTCCAGGGACTTGAGGATGTAGTTGTAGTTGTTGTGCAGGAAGATGGCGCTCAGAGCGGGGTCCTCGTACACCTTGGACTTGCTCAGCAAGTTCAGCTGCAGGTTGCCTAGGACTTTACCTGCACCGGGAGACACGGCGTGCCCACAGGACAGGCTGACCAAATGGCCGGCTGTGAGCCCCCTGGCCAACTGCGGTGCGGCACTCTGAGCCCCTTCTGACTCCAAACTCCAGGGCCCCGGGAGCCCTGGGCCGAGCTGCCGGTCCCTGGACTAGAGGTTAGGCATGACTCCCAGGGCCAGAGTCTCAGGAAGAGCTAGCAAAGGGCGAGGAGGGCAAGGGGTGCGGGCGTGGGCTGCAGGGCGAGGGGCACTCACAGATGTAGGTGCTCAGCAGGCGCCTGCTGACCACGGAGCTGTGGCTGGTGGCCGAGGAGCTGGTCTCTGTGAGAAGGGAGGGCCTGTGACCGGGAGGCGAGGGCCAGGACCCGTCAGCCCTCCCACAGCCAGTCTGTAGAAATGCTGGGGCAGGCCCTGAGCTACGGGCTTGCCTGCCTGCGCGGGGAGCCCCGATCTGGACTCTTTCTGAGAACCCAGGGCTGCCCCTCTACAGTTAAGGGGCTGGCCCATGGCAGCAGGGAGGCAGGCAGGACAGGAAGGGGGTGCCAGCACCCTGCCCCAAAGCACCCACCCATGCCGGCAGAGAAGCTAAAGACCCTTTTTCCATTAGCCAACAGCAAAACCCCAGGATGGGCTCCCCACTTCTCTGCCTTTCCCCCACACTTCCCGCCACCCTTCTATAGGCCCTTCTGGCCAGGCATCTGCTGCCTGCACAGCTCACAAGGTCCCGGGGGTGCAGACAGGGTAGCCTGGAGGGCAAGCATGGGTGCTGGGCCCAGAGGGAGCTGCCTGGGTCAGCTAACACGAAGTGGCCCTGAAGGGAGCTGAGACAGGTGGAAGCACCCCAGGACAACACGCCTCCTGTGACCCGCTCCCCATGGGTCCTTAGAGCTGGTTCCCAGGGAACCTCACCACGGGGAAGAAGGGGCTGTAGAGCCGCACTGCTTACCTCGGGGGTCTAAAGGAATATTGTATGTGTCCCCAAGAACTACGGAATGAAAGGCAGAGCACACAGAGGGGACGGAGAAGAGACGAAGGAGGGAGAAAGATGCAAAGTGCAAAAACAGGTTAGAAATGGTCGTGTCACCCGAGGCAAGCAGATCTCTCCCCGACAGCCAGACACAGACAGCGGACACACAGGCAGAGCCCTCTGAAGACCAGGGGACACCTTGAAAGGGGAGACCCAGAGAACCACAGGCCAACGGCTGCCTTGTGGCTCCTTGCCCCCCAAATTGAGGAGAGACAAGGGCTTGGGGACCTCAGTGCTCAGAACAACACAGAAACGGGCTCCTCCTTACAGGTCAACCTCCCAAGTTCCAGTCCCAGGGCAGTGGTCAGTAGGAAGATACCGGTAGACCCTGGGATGCCACCCAAGGTCAGTTGTGTGAGGCTGATTAGGACATGCAGACATGAAGGTGTAGGGAAATGCAGAAGGGGCGGGGCTGACAAGGCAACATTCAACCAGCCCATGCGGCTGCCCAGGACAAGCACAAGCGGTCAGAGGAGCAGAGGGATGGGCCGGGGGCTTATCTGAGAGGCATAGCCCAATCTCGCTCTCTTGAGGCTTGGCTGGGGACAGCCCCTGCAGGCCACATCTCGGTGCCCTCTGCGAGCTGGAGACCTCACCACACCCTGCCCACACTCAGAGGCCAGCACCTCTGGGGGGCCGAACTCCACATCTCCAGGCAAGAGGGAGGAGGGCACAGGCAGGGCCCAGCTAGCAGGTGCCGAATACCTTGGGAGGCCAGCATGGCACCTGCTGTCTCCTGGAAGTCCAGAAGCTGCTGCAGGAAGAGGATGGCCTGGGTGGGGAGCGAAAGGGTCCAGGAAGTCACATGACAGGACCCAGCCTGATGCCTTCCACAACATGCCCACTGACCAAAAGGGCAGCCTAAGGCCAAGGACCTGCCCAGTGAACAGGGCATCTGGGCAGCTCACGTCGCACCGCGGCGAAGGCCCGTGTGCTGGAGACGCCCAGCCCTCCGTGCCCATTTGCCGTGGGTCACCCAGCAGCTCTGGGGCAGGCCAGGCCCTCCCTGGGGCTAGTTTCTGTCTGGCCCAGAGCCCCTTTCTCCTCCCTCCCCAGGTGTCCTCGGGCAATACTTACGTTGCTTGTGAGCTCGTGCACGGTGCCATCCTTGGGCATGTTGTACTCCTTGTCCGGGTCATTCTGTGGAAAAAACAGGCCCTGGTTCCCAGAAACAGCTGCCCAGTTGGCCTCGGGCCCACCCCATGCCCTGCTGCTTGCTCCTGGCGCCACCTTCTGGCAGATGGGGTTATGACACATGGCACAAAGGCTGAGCAGACACAGGACCCAAAGGGAAAAGAGGGGGCTTGGAAAGGAGAGGGAGGCATGTGGGTGCCCCAGACCAGCAGTGCACAGGCTTCCCTCCTGGCAGACCCCCCCCCCCGCCTCAGGGGCTTGTGGGCCAGGCCTGGGGGTGGGGTGGACCTTGATGTTGTCGGCAAAGTCCTCCAGCGCTTTCGCCCCGATGGTCTCCATGGAGGTGATGAGGCTGGGCAGTTTGTTCTTGGTGCTGGCGGCCGTGCCCTGAGGAAGCCCATGCACACGTGGCCAGGGCCGCCACCACCCTCCACCCCAGCAGGCTGCCCCTCCAGCTGCCCCCCCCCCTCCCCC